ATTACATTCCCAACCATCACCCAACAGCTCAATGTGAGAAATGTTTCCCTAGACTCAAGCGAATTCTATATGCTTTCTAATAGAGCAATAAGCATAAATGTAGAATACGTTTGTTTTGGAGGCATGGTTACGAGAGGCTGTCCACAGGGAGAGTTTTCACCACTCCTCTGGACCATAGTTCTAGACACCCTGGTTGACCAACTCAGCAGCAACGGTTTCTACCCAATAGCCTCTTCAGACGATATTGCTGTTCTGCAAAGCGGTAAGTTTGAGCACACAGTATATGAGAGATTAGAAGGTGCTCTCCGACTAATAGAAACATGGTGCATGGAACACTCACTATGTATAAATTTTAAGAAGACAGAGATGTTCTTCTTCACCAGAAAAAGAAGAATCACAGGCTAAATACCTCCAAGGATTCTAAGCTACAGTGTAAACTTTTCTGACAAGGTGAAGTACCTTGGTATTACCCTTAACAGGACGTTAACATGGAACTCACACTTAGATGGTAGCGTTAAAAGAGCTTATATTGGCTATGAGCAACAGTCGGTCATTCGCATCACGCCTCTAGACATATATGTCAGAGAGGTGGCGCTGGTGACAATGATGTGACTGTGCTCAGCTGGTGCAAACCTTTATGTAGAAATTGGGAAATTAAGACCTCGTTTCTGGCGGGGAAAGCTGGATGCGCTACCACTGCTACAGGCAGGCTGCGACTCAATTAAACGAAAGTTTATCTTTAGCAAACACTACAAAATTGAAACAAGGCAGTATAGGAAGACAAACGTGGGAAATACCTATTAGAAATGCACCGATGGCTCAAAAATGGAAAAAGGCTCAGGATGCGAGATGTACTACAGATCACTATGAATAAGATAAGGTATGGCAAAAATGTCAGACCACGTGTCATCAGGGTTAGTAATGGAGTATCACGAGTCACTAACTCAAGCTTTAAATGGTAATACCATCATCCTGACGTAGTTTAAAGGACACAATAGCAATAAAGGCAACCGCATTCCTGACCAATTGGCTATGAAGGCGGCAGGCCTAAGACTCTTAGGACCTGAGCATCTTTTTGGTTGGTCCTGTACTACAATAGCGGAAACTGTCAAATGTCGCTCTCATACGAAAACCGTAAAAGATGGGAAGAAGGGCAAGGACATAGATTTGCCAGGGTAACACTAAATAAGCTTAAAAAATCAGCATCAAAGAATTACTTGGAAAAGACCAGGAAAATCCTAGGCTTGGCAGTTGGTTTTTTAATTGGTCATTGTCAACTAAAAAAACTCCTCCACATACTGGGGCTAGTAGACACACCTCTATGCAGAAAGTGTAAATGAGAAGACGAAATTGTAGATCATATCCTATGCGAATGACTGGAGTTATCGTTAATACGAGACTATGCGTTCGGCGAGTCCTGGCTCATACCTGCCCACATAAGGATAATCCTGGTGACTTGTTTACCTTCCTAGAAATGACAGGATGGCCAATGAGCTAAGGACAGCTTCCTGGGAAGATGCACAATGGGTCAATCGTGGCCTAAGTGCTGTGAACTTAACTCGTTCTTAGTTATTAGTGACTAATAAGAATAATGTTTGTATTTGATTTTTGAAGTGAAAATTGAAACATCAATAAACTTACTTTTACCTTTAATTGTAGCTTATTCCATTAAAATAGTAATTACTTTAAAATGTTCAGAAAATAGCTTCAGAACAATATTAATTTGTATATCTCAACCAGTTTCAGGCAATAAATTAATCGTTAGTCTAGAAGAAAAAATCAACACCGCATATTCAAAACAGAAGCATTTACACACATACGTTTATATAGTAAACTGTCATTATTTTTTCATGAAGAATTACGATTTGAAGTTTGTCGTAGTTATTTACTAATTCTTAGTAGAGTTATACACTCAGAATCTCACACTGAGCAATCAGTCAGCCTCATGGATTCTGGGGGAGGCAAATATTCGACTGAATCTAATAAGAAAAACTACCCACCATTGCTTCGTATAGCCACTTACAATATAAGAACTATGAGGACCCAAGAATACCTTGACGAACTAGAACAAGAGCTCTCAAATATCAAATGGGATATAATTGGACTGTGCGAATCTTGCTTACCAGGAGAAGCATGTACCATCTTAAAATTTGGTCACCAACTATAACAAACGAACACCCTATAAAATAACGAAGTACTGTACTGTATCAAACAGAGTCATTTATCTTGTCATTGCTTTAAACAGCAGATACAGCTTATAGATAATACATGGATATGCACCGACAGGAAACTCAACAGACGAGGAAGCTGAATCATTCTACGAGGATATGACAACAGCAAGGAACCAAGAAAAATCACACTTCGTAATAATCACAGGAGATTTTAATGCAAAAATTGGTACAAAAGAAGACGGCGACACACAATATATCGGTCGCTTTGGGCTGGAAAACAGGAACGAAAGGGGTGAGATGTTGTACAACTACTTAAACAACGAAAATTTATTTTGTCTCAACACTTTCTTTAAAAAATCTAAACAACGTAAATGGACATGGATCAGCCCAGACAAGAAAACTAAGAACGAAATAGACTACATACTCTCCAATAACAAAAACATATGTACCGACGTCGCGACGTGACAGTACTAAACAAATTCTATACCGGGAGTGACCATAGATTGGTTAGAGCGAACATTAAAATACAGACGAGAGTAGATCGAAGCAAACTTATTAAATGAGAACGATACCCAACCACCGATGTCCTGTTTCAAAAACAAACGGAATACCAAAAAGAGCTAAGCACAAGACTAAAATCAATACAGACACTGAAACAAATGAATATAAACGGACTAGCCACTAAAATAAAAGTAACTGTAACAACATCGGTTAAGAAAATATGCTCAAACACGAAAACAGCCAAAACATCTAAACTCCAACCTAATACAATTAAACTACTCCAAGAAAGACGAAACAGAACAGATCGAACTTCGGACAGCTTTAAAAGTTTAAACAAAACTGTGAAAAAAGAAATCAGGAACGATCATAGAAACTATAATAACAATCTAATAAAAAATATAATACAAGATAACTGCAGCATGAAAGTACTCAAAGCAAAAAACTCAAGCGGCACAACAAAAATTATAGAAATAAAAAATGAGAAAAACGTCACCGTCAGAGACAGAAAGGAAATAAGCGAGGCCATTGAAAAATTCTACACTAAACTATACTCGGTAAATACACAACCACAACAACGACGTACTCAACGAACAATAATTAACACCGGCTCAGAAGAAATACCGGACATAACCGACTATGAAATAAGTATGGCCCTAAATCAACTTACAACGAATAAATGTCCGGGAGAAGATAATATTACAGTTGAAATGTTGAAAATTGGTGGCAGAAAAATGGAACAGGTATTAAATGTTTTATTTATTTAAAGTAATTGATGAAGGAAAGATTCCTCAAGAATGGTACAACTCCGAGGTCATTTTACTATTCAAGAAAGGAAACAGAGCAAACATCGAGAATTACCGACCCATATCCTTGCTATCACATCTGTATAAATTACTAACTAAAATCATAACCAACCGCCTAACACATAAGCTCGATTTCTATCAACCTATCGAGCAGGCTGGATTCAGAAAACATTAAACCATAGACCACTTGTACACCGTAAGTACACTGATAGAAAAATACACCGAGTATAATGTTCCAACTCATATGGCGTTCGTCGATTTCCATAAAGCATTCGATTTCATCGAATTATGGGCAGTGCTTGAATCTCTAGAAAATGCACGCATAGATTCAAGATACATTGACATAATTAAAAAACATATATGAAAATGCCACCATGCATATAAAGCTGGACGAAAGCACAAAAACTAATCCCATAAGACTACAACGGGGAGTAAGACAAGGAGACACCATCTCTCCCAAACTATTTACCTTTGCTGTAGAAGATATTTTTAAGAAACTGGAATGGAACAATAAGGGTATAAACGTCGACGGATCATACTTAAACCACTTGAGATTCGCAGATGACATAGTTTTAATAGCCGATAATATCCAAGAACTAAATGATATGTTACAACAATTAAATGCAGTTTCAGGAGCGGTAGGCTTAAAAATGAATTACAGCAAAACAAAAATAAAGAGCCGAGACCAGACAAATATAACAATACAAAATCATACCATAGAAAATGTGGAACATTATGTATCTAGGTCATGTTATCAAACTAGGAAAACCAAATCAAGATGCTGAAATTAAAAGAAGAACACATCTGGCTTGGGGCGCTTTCGGCAAACTAGCACATATCTTGAAAAACACCTCCATTCCTATAAACTTAAAGAAAAAGGTGTATAACACATGCATACTACCAGTTTGTACCTACGGCTTGGAGACAGTAGCACTAGCAAAAAATCTGCCAAAAAATTAGAAACAACGCAAACAGCAATGGAACGAATCATGCTTGAAATATCACTAAGAGACAAGATTAGAAACACCGAGATAAGACGTAGAACGAAGATTAGGGATATTGTGGAAGAAATTACAAAATGAAATGGCGCTGGGCAAGTCACGTAGCCCGATATAATGACAACAGGTGGACACGGAGAATTCTAGAATGGAGACCAAGGACGACAACAAGAAGCATGGGAAGACCTCAAAAACAATGGTAGATGACATAAGAGCAGTGGCAGGCAAACAGTGGATTAGATTGGCGCAAGATAGAGAAAGATGGAAGCAATTGGGAGAGACCTACATTCAGGAGTGGATGGAAAATGGTTGACAAAGAAGATTTACTAATACTCTGTTTATTAAATTTCTGATTTTTGAAAGTTAATATTATTATTCTTTAATCAGGTATAAAATATTAGCATATAATATACTAATATACATACTGTTAAATTTATAGAAATAATTTAGTTATTTTTTACAGATAAACAAACAAAAAACAAAGAAGACACATAGTTGCTGATATCAATAATCTTTTATTTATACATTTACTGTGATATTACTAGGTATGGTGGAACGGCCTGAGTTGAAAAAACAAAACTACCAGGGCCAGGTTGTTGTTCAACTTGTTCCCCAAACATAATAAGTCTCGCGACATTTGGATCTACAGGGTTGGAAACGACCAGTCCATCCTCAATAACAATGTTAACTTCTTCAGTTTGAACTAGAGATGTAATAGACTCGGCAAACAAATAGTTAGCTCTAACATGACTGCAAACATCTAAAATGAAAACAATCGTAAGAAATTATAATACATCCAAATATTTTTTAAGTTTCTACCTTCATCTACATCGGCACCATTACATCCAGGCTGGTAATTGCCTCCATTGGGATAAAAATCGACCATACCGATAGGTTGTTTAAAGCCCCATTGTCTGGCATCTGTATGAACCACTCCCACGAAGTCAGCGTCCTTTATTGACAATCTATTCTCTTCTGGTACTTCTGGAAGTTCAAATTTCTTAGCTGCAACATCTAAACCAAATATCCTGGGCACCATCTTCCCCGTTTTCTGGAAAAAGTATTTGCCAGCATGACCTGCTGCGTGTCCTCCCAAGCAAGATCCTAAAAAATATATCTGTTATACTGTATATGTTCACTATGTAGGTTCTAGTGTTATGGAAGAAAACATAATAACTTTTTTCAAAGTAAGTTTTATTCGTATACTTCGAATATTTTTTACCAAGTTTATGTTATGTCAATATACATTCTGCTAATATACATCTTACACTAGTTTTTTTTGTCTCTACTTACCAATAATTTCAGATCTACTATAGTCTAGCCCACTATCGATAAGAAACTGTCCAACATATTCGCCAAGCTTTTGAACATTAGAAGCACCAAGTTCGTAGTTAGTTGCAGCTTTGGACCAATCCACAACGACAACAATGTATGAACCTTTAGACAAGAAACCATCCCTCATTTGGACCACCCATTCTAAGTCTGGATTCTCGTTATAACCGTGGATGATTATTCTGACATTTGGAGTAAGAACTACATTTTGTCCGATTGCAACCGTCTGGAAACTAGTTCCAGAATTTTGATAGATCAGAAATGATACGTCGTCATCTTGAATGGTTGCCAGTGAGTAGTCAACTGGAGAGTCTATGTTACCAAGATCTAAAAAACATTTTAAACAGTTACAGTCACAGATTAGATCGATTTTTATATGCAAAGTAAAATGTGTTAATCCCAATTAGATTTGGGCAACCCTTACTTAAAAAGTTATTAATAATTACAATATTTTTTCGTGTAATTTTAATTGAATTAAAGTTATTTATTTAAGTATATTTAAGTAATTTGGATAGCTTTATGTTGATAAAGGATTTTGGAGGCAGTACGGGATGCCGATGTTCATACTGTAATCAAACTTCAAGTAATGTCCTTTGTTTCCTACGAAAGAGTCGGAGGTTCTAGAAATAGAACACAGCTTGTACCAACAAATCCCACTTTCACGTCGCCGAAGGCTTTTGACTCGTAACCACTGGTGCATGGCGTACAATGGGTGTGCGTTATGTAGCAGATGAGATAGTAAAAGGTGAGTTTTCATCGTCTTAAAACTGAAACAAACACCGTAAAAGGAAATAAACCCCGACAGAAAATTCTTGTCCTCCAGAGTTGGGCAATGGGTTAACACATCCCTCCCGTAGAAAACCTTCTGTTATGGAAGAAATTTTAAAATAATCAGTCGGACGGTCTTTTTGTCGATGACTTCGCAAATGAAATAATGGTAATGATATTAAATTAATTGCTTGTTATGTTCGTACGCTTTATAGCGCAAAGAAGTTATACAGCGCAAAGAAGTTATAAGAAGAAAGTATATTAAAAATACCAGATGAATACTCAGCTTTTGTGAAGCAGCTTTCTGCTTGAATACGGTTGTACAAAACTGCATGGATCAACGAAAAGATATAGTCATAACATTTTTCGATTATGAAAAAGCATTTGACACCGTTAAACATGACGCAATGATAAAAATGCTACACAACGCTAACATTGGCGAGAAAGAAGAGTTATCCAGAATCTCTATTGGAATCAGAAAGCACGAGTGAGACTGAACAAATTAACCAACTGAAAAGAATTTGAAATTTTAAGAGGGGTGCGTAAGGGGTGTATTTTGTCTCCTATGCTCTTCAATCTCTATGTGGAGAACATTTTTGTAGAGGCACTGGAAGGCTCTGAGTGTCGAATAAAGGTAAACGGGTTCCCGATAAATAACATTGGTTACGCCGACGACACCGCGATAATAATAGACAACGAATATGAACAGTTGATGTTAAATAAAATAAACATCGTAGGATATGTAGCTTGAAGAGAAATGCTGGAAAAACTAAATGCATGGAAATAAGAAAATGCACTTTTAAGAATATAACTGCAACTAGATAATGCTCCAATCGATCAAGTGAAAACATTTAAATACTTAGGAATGATGATGAATGACCAACGGGATCCTCAACAAGAAATAAAATGCCGTACCGAACAAGCAAGACAAGGTTATATCAAATTTAAACCGCTACTATGTAACCGCAATCTTTCCTTCAATCTCCGCTAGAGGATGGTTAAATGCTATGTAATATGTATGGTCTATATTGTTATACGGCATGAAAACATGGACGTTAAATGTACCTTCCACTAATAAGTTGGATTTCTGCATACCATGGACATATAGGGTGGGAAATGAGGAAGTCTTAAGAAAGGCAAATACTGAGAGAATTACTCAATTTGATCAATGTACAAAAAATTGGATACCTCGGCTATATTCTGAGAGGAAAAAACTACGCAATCCCTCAACTAAACATCCAGGGAAAGATTAAAGGCATGAGCGGAGTAGGTCGCAAACAAATGGCTTCGGAAAATAAAGAACTGGACAGGCATAAATAACGCTGGCGATCTTTTGCATGCCAGAAAAGACAGACGTCTGGGCTTAAGATATTTCGCCAACGTACTATATGTGCACGATACTATAAGAAAAAGAGTACTAAGCGCATATCATAGCACTTGGAGAAATCAGGTGGGCAGATAGTGGCAGCCTAGAAAAAGCAGGCCCGCAATTTTAACTATTGCGGAGACAAAACTGATTATATTTATAGTATGGTATTACATATATTGGACAATAATATTGTTACGAACATGCTGTCAGCATGACTCATATAACGTTTGCATCTCGAAACGGCTTCCAGAATCATCACATCTCTCGAAGGCAAGAGAACAATCGGTTACGTGCGCGAATTAGAGGTGGGAACTTTCTAGAATATAGTAACTTAGGTATATATATGTAACGACCTTAGGGTAAGTTTAGTTGATAAGAGAATACCGAACTGTAAAGTTATAAATAAATATATTTATATAAATTCGAACCGCTCGTTTTATATAAAAACGGTACAATATGTATGTAGAGTCCGAATGTTAAGCAGTTTTTTTCAGTATAGTATCGATAATATTAAAATGCATATAGACATATGCGGTAAAGAGACAGTGATACTCGGAGTATATGCACCAACAGACGATTCACCGAGAGTAAAAAAAAGAATATTTGACGGAACAACTTCAACATCAAATAGAGATAATTCAGAAAAACGTGAAGATAATTATAACTGGAGACCTTAACGGCAGAACCGGAAGGAAAGGAAAAGATAAAGTAGTGTGGAGATTTGGAGAGAATGAACAAAACGTTTAAATGAATTATGCGAACCAAACAACCTAAAAATCACTAACGGATTCTTCAGACATAAAAATATTCATAAATACACATGGACGCAACCACTGAAGCTGAAATCGATAATAGACTACATAATAATCGTACAAGATACAACAATAAAGATCAAATATGTGAGAGACAGAAGAGAGCAGAATGTGAAACGGACCATAAACTACTGACAGCAAAAATTGGCATTAATTGGAAACATAACAAGACCCCTCTACAGAAGAACCGTTGAATACTATAAGAGAAAAACAATACAATATAGAACTACTCCAAGAACAATCAATAAGAGAACTATACCAACAACGCCTAGACCAAAAACTAATAGAATTTAGATACGGTAACATCGAAGAAATATATCAGCATATAAGGCGAGTATAAAATAAGCAGCATTCAAAGCCCGTGGAGAAAAAGGACATATAACAAATAAACAGCACTACTATGAAATAAATGAACTAACAAAAAGAATAATTGAAGAAAAAAAAGCAACTATACAGAAAATGGCTGAGAAAAAGATAGAGAAGTGAAAAATAAAATAACACAACTAATGAAGAATGGAAAAGAACCTGCTTAAATTCTGAAACATACATAGGAGGTACAAGAACTTCGGAGTCATGAAAAGTACTGAGAGGAAACAAAACTTAAAAGAAAAAATGAAATTAGAAATATACAGGACAAAGAATGGAAGGACTATTACAAGGAACTGTTAACAGAACAAAGACCACAATTTATTGGAAAAGAAAACAGGCGAAGACGAAACAGATCCTCACAACAAGAAATAGAAATAACAGATATGGAAATGAGAACGGCTATAAAAGCAATCAAAAATAAGAAAGCACCGCGACCTGGAGCATCTCATCTGAGCTTACAAAATATGGCTCAAAAAAATTACACCGGATGATACAATGGATATTTCAGAAAGCCATAAATGAAGAACAGCTTCCAAAGGAATGAACGGAGGCATATATGACATCTATATTTAAGAAAGGAGATAGAAAACGATGCAAAAACTACAGAGGAATAAGCTTTATATCATCAATAGAAAGATAATATGGGAAGATACTGCGAGAAAAGATGGAGCAAGCGATAAAAGGCAAAATCGGGAAGGATCAGGCAAGCTTCACATCAGGAAGATCATGCATAGACCACATATATATACTGGGACAACTGTTGGAAAAGAAAAAGCAAAAAATAGAGGTATAAGTTGGGCGTTTGTTGACCCGAGAAAGGCGTATCACTCTGTACCAAGGTCAGAAACTATGGAAGGCAATGTACAAATTAGATATACAAAGGGAACTCATAGAAGCTACAAAAGCTCTGTATAAAGAAAATAAAGTGTCCATTAAAATGGGAACAAGAATCATAGGAGAATTCACCATAACAAAAGAGCTCCTGCAAGGTTGTTCAACATCTCCAACCTTATTAAGAAAAAAAGAAAATGGGAATAAATAGTTAATAGTCATGCTCTCACTAAAGATAAATAAGACAAGAAGAAGTATCTATTTTATGAAAATTGAAAGTACGTATAGGGAATGTCAGAACAAAGACATAAAAATTATTATTGGTGATCTTAAAGCTAAAATCGATCAAGAGACAACTTAACGACCAACTATCGGCGAGCATAGTCTTCACGCGGTCAGCCAGTAAAATGGTTTACGCTTGATTGAACTCACAGCCTTGGGAATACTACTAGTTAGTACGGTGATAAGTACTTGTTTTCTCTTTAAAAATATCTATAAAGCCATGAAGTAATTACCAGATGGTCAGCAAAAACGCCAATTCAAGCAATCGGAGACCTAGAAGAATACTAATTTTTGATTTAAAGCTGAAAGGTATATACATCTTCATATGGAAGTTTCGGGAAACCTAACGTTGTAAAATTCATTAAGGTAACACTCCTTAGATAGATATGGCACGAATCAGGTAAGAGAAAGGTGCAATAGAAAAGGTTTGGACAATGATCCAGAGAAAGACCGAGACTTAGGTATCAAGAAAACTAAGAGGACCATGTACTTGATAGTTGATATTTCTCCGATGTATTAGAAGAGAATGTAAAGGTGATAATATAGATTATGAACACTACATTGTAAGAGAAAAACTCAGAGCACGTATGCTAAATGCTATATATATATATATATATATATATATATTATAATATATATATTATATATATATATATATATATATATAGCTCTAATGCTAAAAAGGGCACAGAATAAAATCTACGAAATATCTAAGGTGCTATACTTTGAAACCGCTAGAGATAATTACTTGAAAATTTTAAACGAAACCTAACATAAATCTAAGAAAATCTTAACATTGAAGATTACTGGACTAAAAGTAAAGAAGTGATACACAAGGTTGGCTCGACGAAGAATGTATATTTATTAAACAACAAAAAAGAAGCATATAAGAGATT